GATATGAAGAAAGATTAACAAAGCTTAAGTTGCATTCACTGGAAAGGCGAAAGGGGTGACATGATAGAGGTTTACAAGTGGATGAATGGACATAACAAAGGGGAAAATAATAGGGTATTAGAAGTATCAACACAAGACAGAACACGAAACAATGGGTATAAATTGGATAAGTTTAGATTTAGGAAAGAAAGAGGACGTTCTGAGCTCCACAGTCTCGCCTGACAGACACAATCTCACCTCGAGTTCTTTCCATAGCTTCACCTGTCTGCACCTTCCCTCACGACGACGCCATCACTGTGTAACACCGTCCAGTCTTTAGCCAACAATTTATTCCATAAACATATTGTGAACTGAACCAATGTATCACTGATCTGCTGTAAGCAATGTAGATCGATGCGCTACAGAGTACCCTGGGAATACTTCTACAACACCACTACCTACACACACCTGTAATAGGTGTAGTAGGTAGATGTATATTTGCCATGGAAGAAGAAAATAAACTCTTAAAAATAGCTTTGGAAGAAGTTAAAGTAAATTTAAACATAAATGACTACAATAGGTTAGGTAAGGAAATTCATCAGGAGAAACAGCTTTTGTCAGCACAGATGGAGGAAGTTACACAGGGAATAGAACAGTGCAAGAAAGATATGCAACTCACCTATGCACAAGTGGCCAAGGAGAAGGAAAAAAATTGAAGCAGCAGTAAAGGAAGCCAAACACTGCAGCAACAAAGATAAAACAAGCATTAGGCTGGAAACGAGAAGAATTGGCATCTAATCCGAAGTTGGTGCAAAACACAGTTGATCGGAGTAAGTCCCTGATAATTTTTGGTTGCAAAGAAAAGGAGATAACATATAGGTCAGAAAGAGCTGTAGAAGAAGCGAAAGTAGTAGATAAAATTGTTGGCCTCGTGGAAGGTCTTACTACCATAGAGAATGTGTGCGACTACAGGAGAATAGGCAGATATGTAATAGGGAAAGATCGACCTTTGAGGATCACCCTAAACGGTGCCAAACAGATGGAAGAAGTACTAAGGAATGCTAGAAAATTACAAAGTGATGAGGATGGGAAAGTGTGGTCGTTAAGACGAGATCTTTCAAAAGAAGACAGACAGAAGCTGAAACTGAACCTCGCCGAGGCAAAACGTTTAAATGAGAGCAGAAATGAAGAAGAAATCAATTATTTTTTCTACAAAGTGTTAGGGGTAGGCAGACCAGTAAAGTGGTACATAAAGGCAAACCAACAAAATCAATAGAGAGAGGGGGAGTGAAAAATAGGGAGAGGGGGAACAAGTTCCTGAAGATTGCATACACCAACATAGATGGAGTAAGATCGAAGATACTGGAGTTAAGTGATGCAATACAGCTGCAGACACCAGACATTGTTGCACTCACGGAGACAAAACTTGAAGAGGTTTTTTTAAATGAGGTCATATTCCCAAGGGGCTACTCAATTTGGAGACGGGACAGAAAAATCAGGAAAGGCGGTGGCGTTGCTGTGCTGGTGAAAGAACACCTAAAGGTGAAGGAAATAGTGACTGCCAATCCACATAATAGACATAACCACAGAAGTTGACATAATAGCACTAGAGATCTGCCATGAAGATGATAAACTAATGATCATAAATGCATATAGTCCACCGCCAAGCAGCACATGGTCAAAGGAGGAGCTAGATAGTAAACGTGAAGGTCTTATAACAATAATGAGAGAGATTATAGCGAGAGCGGGTAATGATAGATCGCGACTGTTAATAGTCGGTGACTTCAACTTGAAATCCATAGACTGGGAAGCATATGAAGCTAAAACAGAAGATTTTTGGACCTGTAGATTTGTAGACTTCATCCTGGAAATATTCTTGTATCAACATGTTAAACAAGCTACGAGGATGAGGGCAGGGGACGTTCCCTCCATGCTAGATTTGATATTTACCAGGAAGGAGGAAGATATATTTGACATTCAGTACCTTCCTCCCTTGGGTAAAAGTGATCATGTCTTTTTGGGAATAAAGTATGCAATGAGTTATAATCTGGAAGAAAATAAGGAGGTTGAAGCAGTTGAAAAACCTGACTTCAGGAGAGGACATTATGGCGACCTTAGAATTTTTTTTAGTGAGTATAATTGGACAGACTTGTTGCTAGGCAAGGAAGTGAATGAGATGTATGTCAAGTTTTGTGAAATATATGATAAAGGCACAAAAAAGTTTATACCAAAACAGAGATGCAGAACTAGGAAACAGGATTGGTTTAATAGAAATTGTGAGAGGGCCAGAGACAAAAAGACACAAAAATGGAATCAATACAGGAAGAGGCCGAACCCCCAAACATACCAGCGATACAAAGATGCAAGAAACAACTACACGGCAGCGAGGAGAGAGGCAGAAAGAAATTAAAAAAAAAGGGATTGCAGACAAATGTAAAACAGATCCAGGTCTATTCTATAAATTCATAAACAACAAATTACTGGTAAAGGATAATATTCACAGGTTGAAAATGTGAAATAGATTCACGGAAAATGAAAAGGAAATGTGTGAAACACTAAACGAAAAGTTCCAAAGTGTGTTTGTACAAAATGAAATCTTTAGGGAACCAGATACAATAAGAATTCCAGAGAACAACATAGAGCACATAGAGGTGTCTAGAGATGAAGTGGAAAAAATGCTCAAGGAGCTCAGTAAGAACAAAGCAGTTGGCCCAGATGGAGTTTCACCATGGGTTCTGAGAGAATGTGCACCTGAGCTCAGCATTCCACTTCAAATGATTTTTCAGGCATCCCTGTTCACAGGAGTTGTAGCTGATGTGTGGGAAAAGGCTAACATAGTACCAATCTACAAAAGTGGTTGCAGGGAAGACCCCCTTAATGTATCATTGACAAGTTTAATAGTCAAAATATTGGAAAAAATAATGAAAACTAAATGGGTAGAACACCTGGAGGAAAACGATAAAATATCAGACAGACAGATATGGTTTTCGAATTGGAAGATCCTGTGTAACGAACTTGCTCAGTTTTTATGATCGAACCGCAGAGATTTTACAGGAAAGAGATGGTTGGGTTGACTGCATCTATCTGGATCTAAAAAAGGCTTTCGACAGAGTTCCCCATAAGAGGTTGTTCTGGAAACTGGAACATATTGGAGGGGTGACAGGTAAGCTACTAACATGGATGAAAAATTTCCTATCTGACAAAAATGAGGGCCGTAATCAGAGGCAAGGTATCGGATTGGAGGAATGTCACGAGAGGAGTACCACAGGGTTCAGTTCTTGCACCGGTAATGTTCATTGTCTACATAAACGATCTACCAGTGGGAATACAGAATTACATGAACATGTTTGCTGATGATGATAAGATAATAGGGAAGATAAGAAACCTAGATGATTGTTATGCTCTTCAAGAAGACCTGGACAAAATAAGTATATGGAACAATACTTGGCAAATGAAATTTAATGTGAATAAATGTCATGTTATGGAATGTGGAATTGGAGAACATAGACCTCAAACAACCTGTAAATTATGTGAGAAATCTTTAAAGAATTCTGATAAAGAAAGGGATCTAGGGGTGGTTCTAGATAGAAAACTGTCACCTGAGGATCACATTAAGAACATTGTGCAAGGAGCCTATGCTACACTTTCTAACCTCGGAATTGTTTTAAATAAATGGATGGCGAAATACTTAAGAAATTGTTCACGACATTTATTAGACCAAAGCTGGAATATGCAGCGGTTGTGTGGTGTCCATATCTTAAGAAGCACATCAACAAACTGGAAAAGGTGCAACGACATGCCACTAAGTGGCTCCCAGAACTGAAGGGCAAGAGCTACGAGGAGAGATTAGAGGCATTAAATATGGAAAAACTAGAAGATAGAAGAAAAAGAGGCGATATGATCACTACGTTCAAAATAGTGACAGGAATCAATAAAATTGATAGGGAAGAATTCCTGAGACCCGGAACTTCAAGAACAAGAGGTCATAGATTTAAACTAACGAAATAAAGCTGCCGGAGAAATATACGAAAATTCACTTTTGTAAACAGAGTGGTAGACGGTTGGAACAAGTTAGGGGAGAAGGTGGTGGAGGCCAAGACCGTCAGTAGTTTCAAAGCTTTATATGACAAAGAGTGCTGGGAAGACGGGACACCACGAGCGTAGCTCTCATCCTGTAACTACACTTAGGTAATTACCTGTAATACCCTGGGAATACTTCTACAACACCACCCCTACACACACCTGTAATACCCTGGGAATACTTCTACAACACCACCCCCTACACACACCTGTAATACCCTGGGAATACTTCTACAGCACCACCCCTACACACACCTGTAATACCCTGGGAATACTTCTACAGCACCACCCCTACACACACCTGTAATACCCTGGGAATACTTCTACAACACCACCCCTACACACACCTGTAATACCCTGGGAATACTTCTACAGCACCACCCCCTACACACACCTGTAATACCCTGGGAATACTTCTACAGCACCACCCCTACACACACCTGTAATACCCTGGGAATACTTCTACAGCACCACCCCCCTACACACACCTGTAATACCCTGGGAATACTTCTACAACACCACCCCTACACACACCTGTAATACCCTGGGAATACTTCTACAGCACCACCCCTACACACACCTGTAATACCCTGGGAATACTTCTACAGCACCAACCCTACACACACCTGTAATACCCTGGGAATACTTCTACAGCACCACCCCCTACACACACCTGTAATTAACCCTGACACTGCTCAAAACATACCTGCTGGCTACCTGTCACCATATTCCTCACTTTATAAGTTTGAAATATTTATTTATTAATTCTACCTCATTTATGCAGCTAATTCAAAACTATACAAATTTTTCATTAATTTCCTATCATTCATAGTTAAAGTTTTCTTCATCAAAACGTCAGAGTTTAAATACATATAAACACAGGGAAGTTACACATTTATGTACATTGTTACAATGTTGAAGTTCAATAAATCTTCACTTACCTCTGAGAACAAAATAGGGAGAGATTTTAGTCTTGACCATAAGTGAGTGGCAAGTTTCCTCCACCTTCCTGTTGAAGACTCAATGTCTGGCAGGAGACTGTACCAAGTTGTCAGGTGGCTTGGTCTTGGTGGTGAGCCCAGCTCCTCAACAACTTTACCCAAGAGAGTAAAGTACGCCTCAACTACAACTTTACACACCAGTTCTTCATTCCACAGAACCTGAAGAAAAATATATATAATAATTGTAAACTATAAGGCTCTACACGAAACTTATCTATTTCTGAATAAACTGTAAATTAGTTTACACTTCTTATGATTCCTTACGCAAGTTTTTGAAGCCTGTTTATATGTTTGCCAACCTTGCAAATGCTGCTGATGATATCCTTTTGATGTGGGCTTCAGGGGACAGGTCTGGCATAGTATCAACCCTCTAGATCTTTCTCTCTTTCTGATTCCTGAAGAATTTTCTCTCCCAACTAGTACTTTGTGTTTAGGCTCCTTCTCCCTTCGCCTATCTTCATTACTTTACACTTGCTCGAGTTAAACTCTAGTATCCATTTGTTGGACCATTCCATCAGTATGTTCAGGTCATCTTGTAGTCTCTTGTTGTCCTCCTCTGACGCTCGGAACACCGGGTCCCACTACTGGAGGTGAACAGTAGCGGTCACAACGCTTGACCTGACTGCCAGATTATTTATGTCTTAATCCTTCTCGTAATTTTAGAATCATCAGCAGACATTGAGAGGAATGGGTCTATACCCTCTGGAAAATCATTTACGTATATCAGAAACAAGATAGGCTCGAGCACAGAACCTTCCGGGACTCCGCTGGTGACATCACGTCACTCTCTCACTCTCTGTAACTCTCTGCTTCCTGTTGTTTAGGTACTCCCTTATCCACTGCTTTAAAACAAATGACGGTTTTGGCCTCCGCCACCTTCTCACTTAACTTGTTCCAACCGTCTACCACTTTGCTTGCAAGAGAAAACTTTATAATACTTTTTCGGCACCTTTGATTCCTTAGCTTGAATCTGTACTCACCTAATTGTGCTGTCGGGGGATGAGCTTTGTCTCTTTGGTCCCACCTCTCAACTGTCAATCAACTGGTGTACAGATTCCTGAGCCTACTGGGCTCTATCATATCTATATTTGAAACTGCATATGGAGTCAGCCTCCACCACATCCCTGCCTAATGCATTCCATTTATTAACTACTCTGACACTGAAAAATTCTTTCTAACGTTTATGTGGCTCATCTGGGTACTATGTTCTGTGTCCCCTTGTTCGTGTCCCACCCGTGCTGAAGAGTTGTCTTTGTCCACCCTGTCAATTTCCCTGAGAATTTTGTAGGTGGTTATCATGTCTCCCCTTCCTCTTCTGTTTTCCAGGGACGTGAGGTTCAGCTCCTTTAGCCTTTCCTCGTAGCTCATACCTGTCCCCGTGTTCATGAAGTTGCTGGTTTAAGGAATTCCTCTTTGTTAATTTGGTAGATTCCTGTTAGTATTTTTTAGGTGGTGATCACATCACCTCTTTTTCTTCTATCTTCTAGTTTTGGCATATTTAAGGCCACTAGTTTCCCCGTGTAACTCTTGTTTTTCAGTTCTTGAAGCCGTTTTGTAGCGTGCCTTTGTCATTTGTCCAGTTCATGTGTGTGCTTCTTGAGATCTGGGCACCATGCAACTGCAGCATGTTCCAATTTTGGTCTCACAAAAGTCATTAACAGTTTCTTTAGTATTTCATCATCCACGTAATTCAAATTACATGAGCCTCCCTATTACACTCCCTGCAGTGTAATAAGGAGGCTCATGCTCCCTTTCCTGCAGTGTAATAGGGAGGCTCATGCTCCCTTTCCTGCAGTGTAATAGGGAGGCTCATGCCCACTTTCCTGCAGTGTAATAGGGAGGCTCATGCCCCCTCTTCCTGCAGTGTAATAGGGAGGCTCATGCCCCACTTCCTGCAGTGTAAGTGGGAGGCTCATGGCCCCCCCTTCCTGCAGTGTAAAAGGGAGGCTCATGGCCCCCCTTCCTACAGTGTAAGTGGGAGGCTCATGCCCCTTTCCTGCAGTGTAAGTGGGAGGCTCATGCCCCCTTCCTGCAGTGTAAATAGGTGACTCATGCCCCCTTCCTACAATATAAACAGGTGACTCATGCCACCCTTCCTAGAATGTAAAGAGGTGACTCATGCCCACCTTCCTGCAGTGTTAAGGGGTGGCTCATGCCTCCCCTACCTGCAGTGTAAAGGGGTGGTTCATGCCTCCCCTTCCTGCAGTGAAAAGGGGTGGCTCAGGCCTCCCCTTCCTGCAGTGAAAAAGGAAGGTTCATGCCCCCTTCTTGCAGTGTAATAGGGAGGCTCATGCCCCCCTTCCTGTAGTGTAAGTGGGAGGCTCATACCCCCTTTCCTGCAGTGTAATAGGGAGGCTCATGCCCCCTTCTTGCAGTGTAATAGGGAGGCTCATGCCCCCCTTCCAGCAATGTAAGTGGGAGGCTAATACCCCCCTTTCCTGCAGTGTAATAGGGAGGCTCATGCCAACTTCATGCAGTGTTATAGGGAGGCTCATGCCCCCCTTCCTGCAGTGTAATAGGAAGGTTCATGCACCCTTTCCTGCAGTGTAAAAAGGTGGCTCATGCCTCCACTTCGAGCGGTGTAAAGGGGTGGCTCATGCCTCCCTTTCCTGAAGTGTAAAGGGGAGGCTCATGCCCCCCTTCTTGAAGTATAAGTGGGAGGCTCCTGCCCCCTTCCCGCAGTGTAAAGGGGTGGCTCATGCCCCCTTCCTGCAGTGTAAAGGAGTGGCTCATGCCTCCCGTTCCTGCAGTGTAAAGGGGAGGCTCATGCCCCTTTTCTGCAGTGTAATAGGGAGGCACATGCCCCCTTCCCGCAGTGTAAAGGGGTGGCTCATGCCCCCTTCCTGCAGTGTAAATGGGTGGCTCATGCCTCCCCTTCCTGCAGTGTAAAGGGGTGGCTCATGCCTCCCCTTCCCGCAGTGTAAAGGGGTGGCTCATGCCCCCTTCCTGCAGTGTAAAGGGGTGGCTCATGCCTCCCTTTCCTGCAGTGTAAGTGGGAGGCTCATGCCCCCTTCCTGCAGTGTAATAGGGAGGCTCATGCCCACTTTCCTGCAGTGTAATAGGGAGGCTCATGCCCTCCTTCCTGCAGTGTAAGTAAGAGGCTCATGCCCCCCCTTCCTGAAGTATAATAGGGAGGCTCATGCTCCCTTTCCTGCAGTGTAATAGGGAGGCTCATGCCCCCTTTCCTGGAGTGTAATAGGGAGGCTCATGCCCCCCTTCCTTCAGTGTAATAGGGAGGCTCATGCCCCCTTTCCTGCAGTGTAATAGGGAGGCTCATGCTCCCTTCCTGCAGTGTAAGTAAGAGGCTCATGCCCCCCCTTCCTGCAGTGTAATAGGGAGGCTCATGCTCCCTTCCTGCAGTGTAATAGGGAGGCTCATGCCCCCCTTCCTGCAGTGTAATAGGGAGGCTCATGCTCCCATCCTGCAGTGTAATAGGGAGGCTCATGCCCTCCTTCCTGCAATGTAATAGGGAGGCTCATGCCCCCCTTCCTGCAGTGTAATAGGGAGGGTCATGCCCCCCCTTCCTGAAGTATAATAGGGAGGCTCATGCCCCCTTTCCTGCAGTGTAATAGGGAGGCTCATGCCCCCCCTTCCTGAAGTATAATAGGGAGGCTCATGCCCCCTTTCCTGCAGTGTAATAGGGAGGCTCATGCCCCCCTTCCTGCAGTGTAATAGGGAGGCTCATGCCCTCCCTTCCTGAAGTATAATAGGGAGGCTCATGCCCCCTTTCCTGCAGTGTAATAGGGAGGCTCATGCCCCCCTTCCTGCAGTGTAATAGGGAGGCTCATGCCCCCCTTCCTGCAGTGTAATAGGGAGGCTCATGCCCCCTTTCCTGCAGTGTAATAGGGAGGCTCATGCTCCCTTCCTGCAGTGTAATAGGGAGGCTCATGCCCCCCTTCCTGCAGTGTAATAGGGAGGGTCATGCCCCCTTCCTGCAGTGTAATAGGGAGGCTCATGCCCTCCTTCCTGCAGTGTAATAGGGAGGCACATGTCCCCTTCCTGCAGTGTAATAGGGAGGCTCATGCTCCCTTCCTGCAGTGTAATAGGGATGCTCATGCCCCCCTTCCTGCAGTGTAATAGGGAGGCTCATGCCCTCCTTCCTGCAGTGTAAGTAAGAGGCTCATGCCCCCCCTTCCTGAAGTATAATAGGGAGGCTCATGCCCCCTTTCCTGCAGTGTAAAGAGGTGACTCATGCCCCCCCTTCCTGCAGTGTAATAGGGAGGCACATGACCCATTTCCTGCAGTGTAATAGGGAGGCTCATGCCCCGTTTCCTGCAGTGTAAGGTGAAGGCTCATGCCCCACTTCCTGCAGTGTAATTGGGAGGCTCATGCCCCCTTTCCTGCAGTGTAATTGGAAGGCTTATGCCCCCTTTCCTGCAGTGTAATAGGGAGGCTCATGCCCCCTTTCCTGCAGTGTAAGGGGGGAGGCTCAGGCCCCCCTTCCTGCAGTGTAATAGGGAGGCTCATCCCCACTTCCTGCAGTGTAATAGGGAGGCTCATATCCCCTTCCTGCAGTGTAATAGGGAGGCTCATGCCCCCCTTCCTGCAGTGTAATAGGGAGGCTCATGCCCCCCCTTCCTGCAGTGTAATAGGGAGGTTCATGCCCCCCTTCCTGCAGTGTAATAGGGAGGCTCATGCCCCCTTCCTGCAGTGTAATAGGGAGGCTCATGCTCCCTTCCTGCAGTGTAATAGGGAGGCTCATGCTCCCCTTCCTGCAGTGTCAGAGGGAGGCTCATTCCCCCTTCCTGCAGTGTAATAGGGAGGCTCATACCTTCCTCATAGTGTAATAGGGAGGCTCATGCCCCCCCCCTTCGTGCAGTGTAATAGGGAGGCTCATGCCCCCTACCTGCAGTGTAATAGGGAGGCTCATGCGCCCTTTCCTGCAGTGTAAGTGGGAGGCTCATGAATCCCTTCCTACAGTGTAAAGGGGTGGCTCATGCCTCCTCTTCCTGCAGTGTAAAGGGGTGGCTCATGCCCCCTTCCTGCAATGTAAAGGGGTGGCTCATGCCCCCTTCCTGCAATGTAAAGGGGTGGCTCATGCCCCCCCTTCCTGCAATGTAATAGGGAGGCTCATGCCCCCCTTCCTGCGGTGTAATAGGGAGGCTCATGCCCCCCTTCCTGCAGTGTAATAGGGAGGCTCATGCCCTCCTTCCTGCAGT